GCAATTTCACAGTTTGAAAATTTGGAAAATATAAGCCTAATCTTACAAGTTTTCGTTGACCAAAGTTGGATCCATTTTTGTATAACTTTACGGCGTTTGAGGAGGGGTGTGATTTAGCATATCTATTTTAGGAACTACAAGCTTTTCTTTGACATGAACAGATGTTAAGGGGATGAACGTGCACGACTTTCCCTGACAAAAATATAAACCTCAAAATGAGATTTTTCATATGGGATATATCCCATATGAGTTTTTTTGTTACTGTCACATACATTAGACAAATTTTATATTCGTATATAAACTAATACTATGTAATAACTGTCGTATTAAAATCTGACAACTTCGCAGCCGTCAATAGCACGAATGTTATTGTTTTATGTTTAGTTGGTTAGAATTAGAATATTCTTTATTAATGCAGAAAAATGTCAGTGCATGTAATTTATCGTTGGGAAGGAAATTTTTTAAAAAACCTTTTTCTATTTTACTTTCAATTTCATTACATTTATAACCATAAAATAATAAAAATATCAGTTTCTTTGTTTACCAGTTTAATATCGCAAGTAAAAGTAACGTTGTCGCTCTTCTTCCTTTATTATTTAAAAAATGCAACAGATCATATTTTTTTACTATTTTCTAAAATTTGTTAATATGTTTCCGGTAACATGGTATAATTTTTATTTTAAACGATTTGTGATATTCCCATGTACATATTTTTTTAAAAACATGAATTTATTTGGATTTCTTTCAACATTTTTTTTCAATTAAAAGGATAAATTTCACATATCTCCATAAGAATCAATGTTAAAAGTTTATAATTTAAAATTTGTATTCTTCAATAAATCCGTAGTAAACAGACTCCAAACTTTGCAAGAAATTTTTTTTTACGTAAAACTTTTGATAATTATATGTAAAAAAGTGTGTTTTCTAATTTCCAAAAAACGTGCACGTACATCCTTGCTTAAAGGCATTTTATGATTTGAATTAAAATTATCATTTATCAATAAAAACAGAAGTTATGTCACTAAATTTCTTAGGAGACTGGTGATTTGAATTAACATGGTCACTACATTCTTTAAACCACTATCATTTTCAATAAATAATCCTCTTTTTAATTTTTTTTCGCGATACCTTTTTATCCTTGAATATGGTGCCTTCAATTAAAATATTTTAGATGTACATTATCATGAGATGATATTTCAGAGGATGTGGAAGGAGTGCTCTTTTGTAAATTATTATTTTAACTAATGACGAGAATTTATATTGATGAGAATTTATGGTAAAAATTTGAAAGAAAAAAGTAGAGTTTTTAAGAAAATCGACATTATTTATTTTTAGAAAACTATCTCCTATTTCGTTAATTTTAAAGATTTGTACAAATTTTAAATTGGATTTTGAAGAGAACTAACCCAACTACAAGTTTTAAGAAAAAAATTTTGATTAACCTTAAAAATAATTAAAGGAAGGGATTTATCATTCGGTAATTAATATTAAAAGTGAAAGAAGTTAACAATCTTTCCGAATCAATTTAGCTGTCCTAATACTTGGAGAATCTCGGTGTTCATGTAGCTCAGTGGTCAGAGCAGTCTACTGGCAATAGAAAGGTCGTGGGCTCGTATCTCACAATGCAGGTAAATCTGTGTCTTGATGTTGGTCGGTCAGCATGATTTGAAATGGATTCAGCCAAGGCGACCACCAGACGTGGTGTTTTAAAAAAATTAATATTCTGCTAAAATGTAGTGCATGGCCCACCTTTAATATTGTAACAAAGTAGTTCGATGCGTTTCTAAAGTGGTTTCGAGAGAAACGCGTTTGAAATCCATATGATGGACGCTCAGTGGTGGCAGCGTTCTAGGTAGTGTTATAAACAATTAAAAATTATGTTTTATGTTTTGTAATTTTATTAATTTATAATTTTTATAAGCGAATATGTTCAATATTTGAGCCGCTGGGTCGTAGAAGGGCACGTAAATTTTTCCGCAGAATACCGTAAGACATATTTTTGTTTTTATTTGATTGAAAAGTTCTTAAAATTGTTAGAAATATCGCGAGTGAGTACATATAAGTGAAAAATGTCATTAAATTTGCAGTATAAAAGAAACACTTTTTCCTAAATATTTCGAAAACGATAATAGATAGTAAAAAACTTCATGAGAAAAAAAGATGCGCAATGAAATTTCTATAAGGATATGTATTCGAAATATTTAAATTCAGAAGTTGAATATTGAATGTACAGGGGAGTTAGATTTCGGCAGAAAAAATTTTACGTGCCCTTCTACGATCCAGCAGCTCAATTTTCAAAGACTTAAATTTCTATATTTTTATAAATTATTTATAACTTATTATATAGTTTATATTTTTTAGTTACTACAAATCAATTGAATTTTATGAATATTTAACACCTGCAAGAAAACTTTTTTTAAATTATCAATTTAAAAAATTGTAAATTGTTCTTATGATATTTTTAATTGTTTATAACACAGTATAGTAGGGTAACTGCACCAATTGCCGAGGGTGCTCCAATTGTCGAGGATAATAATTTTCTTTTTTAGATAAATAGTATAATATATAATATTTAAGAACAAAAAAAATTTCTAAATAATCTTTGTATTTTCAACTGTATATTTATATATACAAATTTCGTAGCAATTCTACTGAAATAATTATTTAATTAATATTATAATTCACTGCTGTGAAATTTACACGAATCTCCATTTTCTTAATACTTCAGGTTGATTAAAACAGATTTTTAGAAATGTAAATTAAACGTATTTATAATGACTTTTTGTGTACAAAATTATTATTATAATTTTGTACACGAACTAAATTAATTTTGTATGCATGTTTTTTTGTTAAAAAAAAATATTTAATATTTTTTAAAAGCAAATCATCAGTATTTGGTTCCTTTTTTTTGACAGTTCCATTTTTCGAGGTAATGACTCGAAAATTGGTGTAGTCACTTTTTTCGCTGATGCACCATTTATCGATGGTTAAGTGTTTATTTACTAAACGTCAAACATAAATGCCAAACATTTATAGGTACAGAGAAAAAGAAAAAAAATGCTCCAAAAATTTACAACCAACAGAAAATAATCAACCAAAAAAACGAGGAAGACCGAAAAAAAATTAATAAAAAAATGCATTATTTAAAACTAAAAAATTTTGTACTATAGTTTAATTATAATTAACCATTATATTTACAGTTCGTAATAAAAGTTTATTTTATTCGTTTACAAATTTAATGTGACTTAAATTAATTTATTTTTTTAATTAATGTCTGATTAACAAAATTGATTAAATTTAATTAACTTATATTTATAAAAGTTTAAAAAACAGTTAAATAATTTTCTGTCCTGTATCATCTACTATAAAAATGTTTTATATCGATATTATAAATTATTCAATTATAGTTAACTAAATATATTTGTTTTCTGGTAATGTTCTATAATATTTTTATCGAAAAAATAAATATCTACTCGATTTTCTAATATCTGTACAGGTTAATTGTTAGGTTATATTGGGTTATATGTTTAAAAATGTCATACCCTCGACAATTGGAACAGACCCTCGAGAAATTAGCACAAGACCATCGACAAATGGTGCTTTTGCTCGATTGACTTTTAAATATATTTTTTGCTTAACAATTTAGTTTATATTAAAAAAATAAATATGAATATTAAACATTATTAGATCCTTCGTCCAAATATACAAAAATCAAATTTTTAAGTGCATTTACTTCCGAGAAAAAAAATGTCAAAGTCACATGTTGCCTAAAACCCTCGACAATTGGTACAGTTACCCTATATTGTGAAAAGTAAAAATCTGCAAAGAAAATCTCGGTCCAAGATTTAAATTTGGAAAAAGTGAACTAACTACCTATAGAGCGCCACACATGAGCGTCTATCTTATGGAAAATTACAAACGAGTTTTTCTCAAAAACACTTCAGAAGCATCGAACTGCTTTGTCACAATTAAGGGGTTACACCACTTTGAAATTTTCAAAAAATTCAAAAAAATTTTTTTTGCTTAAAATACTCCTTATGGTCACCAAAATGATATGTCATTAGTTATATATCGATATCTCAAGTAAAAAGACAATTTTCGAACTGTTCAAGCAGGGTCGCGCGCCAACGTTTACATTGTAATGAAAACTTTAAACGCGTTTTTCTCAAAACTGTATTTTAAAAATCGGTGGACACTCTGGATGCCACAAATTTTAATCGATCCTATTAGTTCTTTTTTTATTTTGTTTGTGATATATTTATCTAGCGAAATACGTACGGATTTTTCGAAATATTAATATTTAAATTTTCTAGACAACTTTAAATAATGAAATTTAGGCAAAAATATGGACTTTTTCCTTCAAATCGATGCCATTTTGCGAAAAATAAATTTTTTTTAAAACGGATACGTATTTCGCTAGATTTTGAGCTACAGAAACTAAAGCATTTTTACTTTTTGGTCTAGCTTAATTCTGGACCGAGTTATAGTGTCCACCGTATGGCGATACATTTTTAAAGCACTTTAACATATCATCTGTCAAACTGACAATTTAAAAAAAAAGAAATTTATATATATTTTTTTGTAGTTCAAGTTACAATACCCTACTGTAATTTAATTTTCCTAAAAAAATTTTTATTCTTCAATAAAAATTGTTGAAAAAGCTTATGTTTTGAACGGTTCAAAGTGGTGTAACCCCTTAAAGGTGGATCATGTACTACATTTTGGTAAAATATTAATTTTTTTAAAAACACCACGTCTAAAGGAGCATTCAGACCTCTGCAGACTGCCTGCCTGCGCAGACAGAAGATCCTTCACACCTCACTTTTCCCGTTGAAAAATGAGGGAAGATTTGAATTTTAATAGATATTCAAATCTTCCCTCATTTTTCAACGGGAAAAGTGAGGTGTGAACGATCTTCTGCCTGCGCAGGCAGGCAGTCTGCAGAGGTCTGAATGCTCCTTAATGGTCGCCTTGTAAGAGAAATAAATAATGAAACTAACAGAAAATTGAAGTCCTTGGCATGACGATAACGGAAAAGAGAATTGTGTATCATAGCCCATCCAGCCTGTGACAATATCGTACACAATAACACAACCTAATGAATGTGCTAATATCGACACTTTGCCTTTCCATCCAGGATGTCGATTAATAAACATTGAGTATAACCTATTTAATTCTTGTTGAAGACCACTTCTAACTTCACCTCCATAAAGAGGACTTGTATAATATAAAATATCCATTGCAGATGTGTTCAAAAGATTGCGAATACTTAAAACACTATACGGAGTAATGGCATCAACAATATCTGAAAAATTTAATGCAAAGGCTAAAAATGTCCCAAAAATGTATTTCTTTGTCTTAGTAAAAAATATTTGAGTAAAGTAATTATTTTTCTAGGTATTCTGACAGTTCCCGAGGTTTTTGATTGGCTTTAATAAGAGATCTAAAGAAAAAGCGAAAATTTTCGTTTTCAAATTTCTCAAATTAGTAACTTTACTCTGAGATTATTTATGTCCATAAGTTATGTTGACTTAGTTAAACTTGAATTAATATTATTACTTTATTTAAATAAATTTTAAGACCTTTTTTAAAAAGATAATAAATAAATTGTTAAATAGTGTCTAAAATATTATACGAATTTTGTTGTTATTAATTTTTTTCGTCCTCGTACTTAAATGCTTCCAAAAATGTCAAAAAGTACACCTTTTCTTAATTCATATCGCTTTGTCAAGAACATTTTACAACTGACAATGAGTAAAATATTTAACCAAAAGAGTATTAAAGTTAAGTAATAAGCGCTATGATTGCTAGTATAATATTCTCTAAATTCCTAAAAAATAAAAGTAAATACGAAAAAACTATCCTCACTTTATGTGAACAATAAGGAAGAAGAGATTAAGCAATTACAATGTAAAAATATGAGGGTCGGGGTCGGTCCACCCCCACTATTTTTACAAAATGTTTTGCCAATCACTTATATCAATGGAATCAATTTAATTTGAATATTGTGCGTTGAAGTTAAGGTCATAAACAATCATAATTAATTATGTTTAAATTTTCCTGTATTCAAATAAACACTGTTAGCTCGAATTCCGTATAGGTCAAAAATTAATTTAACCAATCCCACTATGAGAAAAAACAGGGCGCGTTGCAGCACATTTTCGAGTCATGTTGCGCGACTCAACCCTGTGTTCTGTTAGACACTTTTCTGGGACGCGCAGCGTTCCCCTGCTGATTCGAGGCGAGCTGTATTTAAAGTGTATTACACGCTCTTTGGGGAACGCTGCACGCCCCAGAAAAGTGTGAAGAATTTAGGGTTAAGTCGCGGAACGTGACTCGAAAATGTGATGCAACATGCCCTCTTTTTTCTCAGTGCACATAGCACATTATCTTCCCCAGTAGCACGTAATATTACAGCAATATTGAGAACACTGCCTTAACATTACCAATATTGCCTCAATGTTGCTGGAATGTTCCCATTACATGCTACTGGGGTTACTGTAAGCTTACCTTCTGCCTACAAGAGACATTCGTGAAGTTTACCAGTAAACTCAAGGTAAACTCAGAGCAACCGTGATATGTCCGCCCCTTAGTAAGCTTACACGGTAAGGTTCAGGTAAGATTACTGGAAGCTTACATTGACCTTACAGGGTAAGTTTACCTGAACCTTACACCTTACACCCTCGTTAACACGAACTTGAAGGGACCGAAAAATTAGCGAAAAATTACCGAAAAATAATTCGTGTTATCGAGGCACTTATAATAAATAACATAAAGTACCATAATTAATAATTTTGCTTTTAGGTCGATATTCGATTGTTTTCTTTCACTCATAGCAATATAAACACTATTTCTTGTATTATTTGACGGAAATACGTTTTCATACTAGTAGATATACAGGAAGCGTTCTAGACACAGATCCCTGCACCGACATGTTACCGACACTTTTAGCCCAGACTCAAACCATTTGGGGGGGGGGGTTAAGATTCTGATGCTGAGGCGGAAATGACGTCATACACATTCCTGCACTGACACTTTTAGCCCAGATTCAAACCATTGGGGGGGGGTAATATTCAGACCATGATTCTGAGGCGGATATGACATCACGGGTGAGGGTGCGATTCAGACCATGATGCTGAGATGGATATGACGTCACACTTCCTAGAATTTTTTCTTGTGTAATTTGATATATTCTTATCTAAGGAATTTTTACCAGTTACTTGTTGTTTATAATGTCTTTGATTTATTGCTTCCGGTTTGGGATTTATCTAAGGAATTTTTCCCACGTGTAATTTGATACCTATTTATTTCTTGGAATTATTGTCTTTATTTAAGCTATTGTTTTACATGTAATTTGATATCCTGTTTATTAGATTCTTATCTAAGGAATTCTTCCCATGTACTTGTTGTTTATAATATCTTTGATTTATTGCTTTCGGTCTGCTTTATACAGTTTATTTATTTTGTTTTGACTAAGTTTTATCTAAGGAATTTTTTTACAAACATTTTCGGTACTTTTCATAAGAATGCTTTTGATCTTACCGCAATTCTAAGAAAACTATAATTAACTTCAAGGTTAAATAGGTCATATCTTGTGTATATAAAGAGAGCAATTTTTCTAAACGAAATCATTCCTGCAGTTTAAGTTGGTTGATGAACATATTATTAGCAAAGCATAGTGAAATTCAAGTGCGATTAAACAAATTAATACAAGAAATTGATAAAGTTAAAAGCTTAATTGAAGAAAGGTCGCAGTTAAATATTTTAGTGAAAAAATGTGAAAATTTAAATTTAAGTGATAAAAATGAATTTCGATAAATTAAACAAGGCAAGCAAAGTCTTGGTCACCAAAACAACAAAGGAGTTAACCATCAATGCATTCTATAAAGTAACAGACATTCGAAAAATTGATACGAAATTTGGTCTGAAAATTGTTGCTGAAATAAATAATGAATTTAACACTTTTCTACCACCAAGAATGCTAAAAATATTTGAAGAGAATGCAAATCTTTTCAACAGTCTAAAAGCTGAAGCTGTCAGAGGTGGTGTATATTTAAGAAATCGTGGAGGACCTTACAATCAGATAGAGTTTGTTCCTGAGGGAGTTGACCAGTAGTTGACAAAAAAATGTCGTATTTACCATGCAGAGAAATGTTATTATAAAAAATTTACAACTTGAATCCATCATTTACAAAACAAACGGAGATTGTGATGCAATAGTGCTGGATTGTGAAACGTTTACAATACGTTTTAGTGTTACATATCGTTTAATATCAATTAAGCGTTTAGATCAATCTTTTATATTTAGTGAAACGTCATTTGCAATATTTAATGAACTTATTCCTTGTGTCAAACAAAAATATGTAGAACTATCAAAATTCAATTTGCAGTATAGTAAAGATATAATTGTAAAGTCTATTGCAGAATTAATCTTTAAAAATAATGTAAAGTGTACAAAACATGCCACGGATTTTATTAAAAAAAATTACAGTAGAATACTTCAAAAAGTGATGGGAAGAACTAATGTTTTAAATTTAGAGACGTTATTGCTGGAACTAGTCACATTTCACTGTAAACAAATATCGAATGAAGCTATTCATCAAATGTCAAATATTCAATGTATAAATGGTCGTTTATTGTAAAAGACAGGATAAATAAATACAAGAATGCATACAATTCAATTTATTTTTATTTTAACCTTTCTCAAATACATTATAATTCAGATTCGTTTATCCAACTGTTATGAGAATTATTAAAACCTAACCATTTTACAAATACATTAGATCCTCGTTTTTTTAATACTTTTTCAACTAAATATACATCTGGATATTCAACTTTAGAAAGTTCTTGCTCGTAAAAACATCCACTTATTAGATTTTCCTGATAATCCTTAAAGATATATGTTATTGGATTAGTATTTTTTACATCGCTTATAGTAAATATTTCTGTAGTCCAATTTGGTGTATAACCTTTCTCAAAAACATGTTTAACTTTACTTATACGTACTCTATCTCCAACTTTAAATTTCTTATTATATTGCCTGTTTACTGCAACTTTTTTAAATACATTAAACAACTTATTTTCATTTTGAGCATTTACATCTTTCGGTTTCATTTTTATTGTCCGATGTCTACTATTATTATACGCATTTACTAAATCACTTAATATATCTATCCATTTGTAATTACCGCGTAAACTAAATTGCATCCACATTTTATTCTTCAAAGTACGATTAAATCGTTCACAAATTGACGCTTTCAAATTACTATGAGTAGAATACAAATTAATGTTATAAATTTTTAATAAGATTTTCAAAATGTGAATTATAAAATTCTTTTCCTTTATCTACTTGCAAATTTTTCGGTATGCGTTTTTTAATTAAAATATATTTCATTGCCGCAGTCACATCTTCACCTTTTTTGGACTTTACTGGAACAGCCCAGGCAAACTTTGAAAATGTATCAATGACGGTTAGGTATCAATGACTTGTAACCTTATTTTCTCTCGCATAAGGTTGCATTTCAACAAGATCAGCTTGCCAAGTCTCGTCAAAACCTCGAATGTCAACATTTCTTCGCTTATAATTTTTTCTCGCTGGTTTATGTAACTCTTTCACTTGTAACCTTATTTTCTCTCGCATAAGGTTGCATTTCAACAAGATCAGCTTGCCAAGTCTCGTCAAAACCTCGAATGTCAACATTTCTTCGCTTATAATTTTTTCTCGCTGGTTTATGTAACTCTTTCACCAACTGTAGTTTTTGATCCTCCATTGCTAATTACCTTCAAGTGTGCGCAGTCTGCTGTCTAATTGTAAAATAATGTCTTTGTTGGTAGACATCATCTCTATATTTCTTTCAATACTGATTCTTAGATTCTCAAAATATTTTTTTATCAAATCTTCTAAATCTAAAATCTTTACAATATTGTCATTTACATCGTTTCTCACAGAGCCAATTACATCATAGATGGCGTTCGCTTTAGATTCAATAACTTTGTTTACAATATTCAAGTTTACTGCATCATCGTTGCTCTCAGCATTAGCTACGTTACAAAGTTTCTTATTTTCAATATTAAAATCTCCTTCGGCAGTCAACTTATATCGAATATATCGATACTCATGATGAAAATGATAAAAATTTCTACAACTGTTAATTAATAAACAATTCCAGCTTCTCTCAACTCTTCAATAATTGATATAATATCATTATTATGACTGGGATTTCCAGCTGCTTGAGATGCCAAGAGCAATCTTAAGCGATCAACCAATTCATTAGGATCATCCCAATAAACATAATCAATTTTTGC